ATGACATGTTGACAAGAGTTCATCACATCACTATATTGATCACCCCTCAGCAGAGAAAATAAGACATCGTTACACTTCGAAGGATTCATTCTAAGATTGTGACATGAAGACCAGTCGGTGGGCAGTGAAATATTCCGAAAACGTTTGGGGTACACGGAGGAATTCGAAAACTTCGTACCATGCAGAACATCATCGGCATACCTAATGGGCAAACGATCATCGATGGTAATCGATAGGTAGAAGGATTACTTAACAGATTGTTAAGCTCCGGCTGAATGCCTTTCTCAGAAAGAGTGTGAAGAAGTTTGAACCTATAAACACAATTAAAGATATCACAATAATCAAAGATACAGCTTTACATTTCCTGTCCAAGGAGGATTAGACCATGAATAAGGCATGCCAACGCATCAATGTTTAACCTAGAATTGCAAAAGACAAATGGATTGGGATCAGGTGCATTCAGCTGTAACATCCTCTTTAGTAAAACCTTTTTAATGACTTTCAAACCAACAGAACTGCAAGCAATCGACCGAAATTTGGACGGTCCGTTGTTGGGTACTGGCGTGATAGAATCCTCTCTCCAGCAGTCTGGAATACAATGTTGAGTAAAACAATGGTTGAGTAGGTCGGTGAAAACAGAGGAAAGGGAAACTGCACATTCTTTGAGCACAACAGGTGGCAGTCCATCAGGACCGCATGCTTTATTAGACTTCAAATTGATAAAAGTTTTGAATACTTCTCTTTGATCAGTAATTGAATGAACAACATTAGGAGCAGAGACGACTGTTGTGAATGAAATAGTGATATCAGTTTCAGCATTACTGACGATTGAGATCGTCCACATCGGCAGCTGGAAGATTCTCCTTCGTTTTCTGACCGCAGAACTGAAACATCATTTTCCATGTATCCCGACTATTTCTGTTTGCCAACAGTGCATGTACATAAGCGGCGTTTAATGTACGCAGTTTAGTCTTGATTGCTTCCGAATAATCTCTCACCAAAGAGTACTTTTTGCTTTGAGAGCTTGTTCTTTCTTCTGACGTAATAGTTTAAGTGTAGGGGACAAAAAACTGTCTGACCGTACGTATGAAGTTTCCCACGGGCAGCACGTATCATAACAGAACTTTAAATATTCAGTCAGGGTATCACAAAATATAGAGCAGCCATTATGTACAAATAGAGTGGAATCTGTCTGATCTAATATATTTCTTAGTCTGGTGAGATTTTCGGGTTGACATGGACGCCGATGAAGACGACGATCACGATGCCGAGTGTATAGCAAGTAGATGATTGGATCTACTGTGGATCGCGGGAGATAGTTTCAGTGTTGCATGATCGGAGGTGCCAACAGATGAACAACTGGGCAAGTTAAGTAAAATAAGGTCGTTATTGGAACACAAATCAAGACAAGCCTCGAGTCTGGTGGGAGAGTTATCAACGTTTTGTATTTCAAGGGTTGTCAAAAACGTGATATCAAACCTGTTGAAGTCACCACACACGATTCAAAGGGAGGAGTCCACGTAATTTAGTAAAGCGGCGGAGAAAATATTTGTGAGCTCAATAAAATTATCAGTTGAACAAGAAGGAGAAATGTAAATGCTACCAAAAATAATATTTCGGTAATTACCGAGGTTTTTGGGTCTGCATTTGTGCAGTGAAATACTGAAAAATATGGTAGAATACATAAAGACTCGATTGCCTGTTTTCCCCCAATTGTCATTTATGTATGTGATGACACCACCGCCTCGTTTGTGAACCGGAACAGGTCGGTCAACTCGGCAAATGGAGAAATTGTCAATTTTGACCATGTTATCATCAATTTCTTTATGGAGCTAGCTCTCCGGAAGCATTACGACTCCAACATTCGAATATTCACGTCTCCTTGTCAGATGTATTACTCCTGCCATATTGCCAACCAGGGAGCGCACACTTCTACTGATGACTGCTGGAATGCAGATGTCTGAAACTGATCGTTTGCGACCTACCATCCAGCTCTGTGTTTTCTGGGAAATGTTTTGAGAGTTCTGTAACTTCTCTCTCTGTTACGAACCGATTTGCCAACAGAATGTGAAGTCCGGTGGCCGGAAATTCGAAGTTGTTTCATGAAAACGGCAGAAAATTTCACAAAATTTGGGATGACCGTAATTGCACAACGTTTTTATGACAACAAAGGACGTGTATCTCAGATAATCTCCAGGGATTGTGTAGTTCCGAGTCCGACCATGTAACTAACGGATCGAGCAGCCAATTTCAAAGGCCCCGCCTACGAGCGCATCTGCGAAACTGTGACACAGTGATCCAGAAACCCGAACTGCCGTGGTTCGTTCTCGAAGCAATTCTTCTGTCTAATCCAGTAAAAGTCCCCGATTTCCATAATTGTGTAGTTTCGTCAGCAGCAGTTTGTGGTTTACTCGTCAAAATACCCGAAAACGTCGAGGTAAACTACGTCCACTGCATCCACTGCATTTGTCCACTCTTTTCCGGGGAGAAGCAAGTTGGTGGTACACGATCATCTGTGACAGAATCGATAGTGCACCGGACGAATATTCGTCTTTTTCCTGCTGACTAATCACATTGTCTGCAACAACTGATTCCATAAATTTCGATCGCAAGGGAGGGACAGTAACCGAGCGGTATCTAGCTGGATTACCATGATACCCACTCGTGTATATTGGTGAAATTATTCCTTGAATCCCATATTTGTGGGAGCATAGTTTTGTCTTACCTATGTTCAAATAGTTCACTTGATGACTGNATGACTGATGTTTGTAAATGAATATTATCTATCCCCAGAGGTGAATTCTTTCTCAAACACTGCAGTTTCGATGCAATGACGACTGGGAGAAATCAACTGGATGTTTTGTGTCCTCGAATAACTGGGACAGTTATGGTGCAGTGTTCACAGGTACAGTGAACACCTGAGCATACTGACTCTTGACCATTTCAACCGCCTTCTTTGTTGTGACTGAAACATGTTCTACCAAGCTTAGAGTGGGAACGCCAGACTTGATTTTTCTGGAGACATTTATTTAGTTGTTAAACAGCTTGGGATGGGATAGAACCTTGCGCATCAGCATTTCTTGCTTCATTAACTTGTCCTCTCGCGCCAACTTGGTGCACTGGTTTCGAAATAGACAGTATGTACATGTGGTGATCCTGGCCTGCGAGATGACGCAAATCACGGATAGACACGAGACAGGTGACATCAACAAAGCCCCTTCGACTTACAGTGTGTGGACTCCAAAACAGTCCGATTTTACCAACTAATCAGAAGCCCCGTGGCCTAGAGAGAAGCTGAACAACGCCAGAAATACTGCAATGCGATTGGCACACGACCGGATGAGTTTGTTTTTAGATATTATTTAATCCCCCTTATTTTCTTCAATAAACGAACTACTATTCTTGTGGTCTTTTCCTCGCGTCTCGGTTACGTGGGATATCGCGTGCTAGTGCCAGTGTGGTCCAGTGCTTACATGATACAGTCCGTGATTGCTAATCCCTGATTGGGGTTCCGTGATCCGTATTGCGTGGTTCGTATTCCGATTTCTACTACTACTACTACTACTGCTACTCCTACTACTACTACAATTACCACAAACTGGTGTCGCGCTACGGAGCTCTTAACCATTGAGCAACTGAACCTGCAGGTCAGCCCATCTGTGATCGAGGAATTGGGCACATGGTTCGAACTGTGGTGCGGCATTCATAAAGGTGACACTGGAAACCAGTAAGCTTCATTTCTTAATAGGAGAGGCCGTGAGCTCTATTCCCTGCTGAAAAACTGGGTATTTTCCGTGGCTTCTGCTAAACTATCATAGGAATCCCTGAAATTGTTGCTGCCCAAACACCTGCTGCTCACAGAGTTCCATGCACATGAGAAGGCTAAATTCAACTCGCTGATTCGTGCGGATCATGTTTCCTGCCGTTATCTCATTCTGCACCTACGGTGATCGGTTGGAAGAACGACTGTGTGACCGAATAGTAGCCGGCATTAACAATCTGACACTCCAACGGAAGTTGATGGAGAAGAAGCATTCAACTTTAGCTGAGGCCCGAAAGATCTGGGAACAATTTGATTGTCTGACAAAAGCGACTTCAACTGACGCACTCACTCTATTTCAGCGGCAGGCAATGAAACCGAATCGACCTCCAATGGCCAAAAACACACCGAAGCCGCAGCGAGACCCTTCTAGCATTGATAAACTTATCAACCCGTGTCTGTCATGCGGAGCTTACTATTTGCGCTCCAGTTGTCAATTGCGCAATGCCAGGTATCATGCGTGCCATATTCAGAGAGTATGCAAACAGCCCCGTTGCTATCTCGCACAGCCAACGGCCGAAAATGACACAAACCTTGTGATTTCTCTAGACCCTAAAGTCAGTATTCCCAATTCCTGTACAAAGATGTGACACTACAATCAGGCACAACACACAAATACGGTGTTGACACAGGATGCACACGCATCTTCAGCGTTTGATCTGGCAATGTTCCAACGGTTTAAGAGGAATGAACGTGCAGCCGGTCAAATTGGAAGTTGACGTTGAGCCGATCTTTGTGAAACAATGCGTAATCCCGTATGGCTCACGCGAAGGTGCGTTGAAAGTCATTGAGAAAATGGAGTAAGACAGCAGCATCACTCGTGTTGAGTCAAGCGCGTTGGCAACACCAATTGTGATCGCAATCAAAAGTGACGGCAAAACACCGCGAATTTGTGGCGAATACCGAATAACCCTAAACCCGCGGTTGCGAAAGTGTGCGGCTACCACCAATGAACCAGAAGATTTCATTATAGCACGTGCTTATCAAAGATCGACTTGGCGGATGCATACCTCCAGATTCCTCTCACCCCAACCTGCGGGCAATTCACCACTATCAACACACCATGCGGACTGTATCAATACAACTTCCTACCGTTTGGTCTCCACACATCCTCAGGCATATTCCAGCCGACGATTGACGAAGTCATCCGCGGACTCAATTATGTGTTAGCGTACCAGGACGAAGTCATTGTGTTTGGTACAGTAAAGGCCGAGCATGACGATAGACTTCCCAAACTACTGGAGCGGTTCGCTTAAAAAAATGTGTCAGTTCGTGCTTCCAAATGCATGTTCAGCTCACCAGAATTGGAATTTTTGGGCTTCACAGTGAATGCAAAAGGCTACCGTCCTGATCCAAGTCGCTTCCGCCTATTGACCGAACTCGAATCACCGAGAGAAAACACCGACTCAGATCCATCATGGGATGTCTCCAATACTATTCGCGTTTCATCCCAAACTTCACCACGATAGCCCAACCTCTGTTCGCTGCTCAGCCGACTACGGAATGAAAATGGACGGACGAGTGTGAACGAATTCTGCCTGAATTCATTCAGATGATA